ACGTGCGCGTGCACGGAAATCGGCTAGCAAAGTGCTAGTGCGCTCATTCGTGATCTGTGCTTGGCCGGCTTGTGTAAGTGTGCGCATGTGTCCACCCGCGCACGTGCACCCCGGTCATGTTTACGGCAATGTGTGAGCGCGCTGTAAAACCAAAGAAGGGGAAGTAGGTTGGGATACAGATGTGTTGGAGGCATGTCCGTGTCCCACGTAGGAAGGGTGGGAAACGAATACCTACATCTTCGGGGTTGCAGGTGGTGGTACGAAGAAGATGCGAAGAAAGTGGGGCTATTTTTGCACCTTCGCTCGTGTCGCCCAGAGAGAACGATGGAGAAGCGCGCGTATAATACGAGAAGGATTATCTCTGGCGTCGAGCTTTCGTGCTCTCTCACTTTTTCGACTCGTCTCTCTCTCTCTCTCTCTTTCTCTCTCTCTCACTTTCTTCTCTTTTCCGCCACTTTAATCCTCCTTTAAGTTTCACTTTCTCGCACTCTCCGTTTTCTTCGATTTATGTTTATATCTTTCCTCGTATTCGTGTAAATATACCGGAATCGAATCGAATCGATCATTGTGACGAATGACAATTGGAATATATGTTACATTCGATTTTGTGGATGTTTGTTGTAGCTGAAATTTTGGCCGAATAAATTTCGTATCCCGTTTGCCGGGTTGGCCGTGAAAGGAGTTCAGTAGTAAAGGACAACGCGTGGTCGGACGCTGGCGATCGATCAGTTATTTCTTTCTAAATGATTCAAGGACACAAGTTCGTCCGTTATCTACAATTCTCAACGATTGGTACGATTTAATAATATCGTATTATCGTACGCTTAATTGTAACGATTAAAATTATAGAATTACAGAACACAGAAGGAATTTTTCATGGAAGGTTACATCGTTTGTTTTCGCGTGATATTCCCGAGGAAAAATACACTTGAACTTTGCTTCTTCTTTCTTTTATCTCTTCTCCCTTATATTCCTTTTTTTTTTTTTTTTTTTTTCGTCTTGTCTTTGGTTACTCTATTCATCCAACCGGGCGACATTGCTTCGGGGCAAGTTTTCTATCGAGGCACTCGTTCTTCCTCAAAAGCCCTTTCTCGAGCGAGAGAGGCTCGTTTCGATGAAACGCGATAACGAGAGTCGATGAAAAATTAAAATTCCTCGACGTTACGAATACGAAGGTACGAGTAAAGGGAACGGATATCGTGATCGATCCCACCGATTTCGAATTTATTTCTCGCTTCAGTTTAGAAACCTGCCTCGCGTGAATTTTTTTTTTGAACGTGAAAAATTATTCGAACGAAATTAGAAATGTGACATCATGACGCGTAGAAATATATGATAAATTGTTTATTATCTTCCCTGGGCACTGATAAATAGTAATTTAGATTTAAATGATATGTTTACAGGATCGCATGACAGCTAATGGAAACTCACCACTGGACAATATGAGAACGTTAGAGCATTATTTGAGCGACATTATGCGGGCTGGTACAGCAGATACTCCGGAACACGTGAAAGGTAAGTCAACTTGCGATCATTAATCATTGTAAAACATTGATAAACAAAAAATTTGCATTTCTTGTCTTTTCTAAAAATTGAAACACTTAAAAACACTCTGTTTCGTTTTCTTAAAGGACACAATTTTAATTAGAGATTACGAATATTAAAAAAATGCAAAATTAAAATGTAAAAATTTTAATCGATAATTCTTTTTTTTCCTTTTCTCATAATTCGATCCGAACGAGGTGTACAAATACAGAGTTCGAAGTGATTCCAAAACGAGATAAATAAATTCTAACCTTCGACTTTTCTTTTTTTTTTTTTTTTCTTAACCTTCGATCAAAATAGACGAAAATAAATACAAGTTCGAAGTGATTGGAAGGAAAGTAAGGGGATCGAGGAAATATACTTTAAGGACAATCAAGATAAATCGGGGAGCAACGCTTGTCGCTTTCGAATGCGCATAATAAAGTAGGATCATTGAATAAGTCAACTAGCTATCCAAAGAGACCAACGAAACCGACGAAACAGCCACCCAACCGACCACTTAACGTAGACCAGCCCTTCTTACCACCCTCCACTCGACGCGGCTCTACTACACACTTTACTCTATCCCTCTACGCTACTCTGTGTATATACATATACACTGTGTATGTATACATATATATATATATCTATACATCTAACTCGAACTCCGCAAACCAACGCGGAGACCGAGCGCTAAAGAAGTAGGAAGGAAACTCAAACGCTTTGCGTCTCGCAATCTCCTCTCTCTCTCTCTCTCTCTCTCTCTCTCTCTCTCTCTCTCTCTC